TATGGCATTTAAACGTAGACTTTCTATTTCACTTGGTGAAAGAGCTTCGAAAAATCATGTTAATCACAAAGCCAATGCTTGGCGATGTTTTCAAAAGAATGAACCTAAAAAAATGTTTATCGGAAGTAAACAGTAACAAGGAAGTAAAAAAAGGGATCTTGAAAAGACCAGAAACAATTTTATCTCTCCATATATTTCTCTTATGTGGTACCATGAGCATGGGTATTTCTCTATCTATATGCACCAGCACAGTTATTATTCATTTGTTAAGATTGTCTTAAGTAAAAATTTAAGAAGTATTAAGGAATTAGTTATGCGTTAAGTATTTATTTAGAATAATTTTGTTAGTTTATCTTAAGTAATAATTTAAGTAGTGTTGAATAGCTATAAAAAAACCATTATCCTTTCGAAGAGAGCCTGTTTGCATCTAAGTGCACGTCAAATAGAAGCCAAGATCCCAGCGCAAACGCATATCATTATTGCCAACTCTTGAAACGACGACCTGATCAAGGTATAATAAGTATTGTTTCTTGCAGACGATTTTCTCCTACAGCGAAACAAAAGTAAAAATTATTTATTCTATATTAGTTCATGACATGAGACGCGTCATTTTTAGTGAACCAATCATATCTTATGCTCTTGCAACCTCATACAGTTTGTTTCTTCTTCCTTCATCCAATCATATCCTATGCTCTTGCAACCTCATACAGTTTGTTTTTTCTTCTTTCATCCAATCATATCCTATGCTCTTGCAACCTCATACAGTTTTTTTTTTTCAAAAATGAATGTTCTTCTTATTTATCGAACTATGTCGCCAAGTCAAAAATTCCAGTAAGACTACAAAACTATAATTTTTTCTAAAAATAAATCTATGATATATATCGTAAGAGATTGCACGAATTAAACTTCTGGCTGACGTGTTTAACTTTAAAGAGATTTTATTTTGCTTTGAAAGCATATTTGTATAATTTGATACTGAAATAAAATGGAACTATAAGTCGTGGATGATTGTTTAAATCCTATACCGCAATTGTCTTTTCTTAACTTGCAACGGTGTGTAGAATGTTACTAGAAATAAATTTACTCAGAAGTTAATTTCGTATAAAAATCATAAAAAATTGAATATTTTTAAGAACTCTTGTGATTTTGTGATTTCATTTGATATATATATATATATATATATATATATATATATATTAATATATATATATAT